GTCTCAAGATGTACATTGTGTACCCTCCTGATGAGGCTTTGTATACACTGGCAGTCCATAAAACCTGGTTCAGAAATGCTACGTAAGTGGTATAGTCTTTATCAGTACGTACTAATAAGAGAATCCTAGTTAAAATATTTTGTATCATCTTAGACTTTAATGACTTTGTCTCGTAAACATATGCTGACATTGATCTGGAAATTTAAATATCAGATATCTAGCCAATGCTCTGATAACTACCGATATTGTACAAGCCTCATATAACTACTCTTGGTAGTTCGTGACTCTGTTCGCATCGCTATTGGGCAGTGCGGACGTGCTGCGCAGTAGCTCCTGATTGAGTTGGCTTTTGCACAGTGTTGACGTGTACTTAGCTCTGTGAAGACCTGTTTGCGCGCTCTCTACGAATTGAAGCAAGATGCCCTCCATCGAGCAACTTTACCAACAGCTTAAAGAAGAATTGAGGATGGCGAAGTTGGAGATTCGGCGACTGACCGAGGAAAACAAGAAGATTCGTAGTAGTCCTCCCGTTTTGAGTCCTCAGGTCAAGAAGGGAAACTGGTCAGTGGCTGGACAGCAGGGAATGAAGTTGACGATCAAGAGAACGAATGGAAAGGTAGAAACGATGAAGAAGAAAGAGACTGCCGTGGAAACTGTTGTGGAAACATCTAATACATTCTCAGTGCTTTCCCGACGAATGTGAGTCGACTACTGGGAACAACACGACGAACGACACCAAGGAAGGTAAGAATATTGTGTTGTTGGGGATAGCCAAGTTAGGTATATGGATAGGGTTTTTCTGCTTGAAGGACAGGAGTAGGAGACAGAGAGTTTTCTTTCCTGGGGCTGGGATGGAGGATATTGTTAGCCGTCTGGATGACATCATGAGAGTAATGGGAGCAATCCTATTATCTGTCTCAGTGCTGGAGGCAACGATGTTGGCAGACGTTAGGAGTTGAAGACCTGATTAACAGGTAAAAGGGTCAGCAATAGAAATAATTGGGAGTAAGGGTGGGAACCCTGTCATATGTGGTATTTTGCCAAGGAGAGGAGTTGGAAATGAATGGTTGTCCAGGGCAATTGGTGTCAATTGCTGGCTGGAAAAATACTGTAAGGAAAATGCGGTAACATTCATTGACAACTGGGACCTCTTCTATGGCAGAAAGGGACATGTATGCCAGGGATGGTGTTCACTTATTTAGGTCTGGGGTGGTAGCATGGCAACTGCAGTGGAGGGAGCAGTTAGGACTTTAAAACAGGAATAGTTAGTGGTAGGGGTTTTTGGCAGGAAAACAGTGAAGTCCCAGTGTAGTAATATTACGAGTTCTAGGGGAACTAGTAATAAGCAGAAGGGGTAGATATTGAAAAGCCAGGGCCCTTTTGGGTGATAAGGACAGTAATAGGTTTAGTAGAAAAACAGAAATGAAGCGGGAAGGTAAAGAGAAAGGAGAGTCTTTCAATGTTTATTATCTAATTGCCGTAGTGCTAGGAATAAGATGGACGAGTTGAGATTAGTTGCTAGTGCAGGTAACAGTGATGTATTTGCCTTAATGAGACGTGATTTAATTCAAAAAGTGGGGACATGCCTGCGGAATGTCATATTCGGGGTTTTTAAATTGTTCCAAGTAGATAGAAGTATTGGGAAGGGGGTGGGGTGGCATTGTATGTCCGAGATCGCTTGAACTGTTGCATAAAAACGGGTATTAAGTCTGAAGTAACCATACAGAGTCCGTTTGGATAGAATTTTCAGAGGGGCATGAAAAACTGATTTTGGAGTGATATACCGTCCCCAACGTAGATACGGACCAAGGGAGACTACTATGGGAGGAAATTGTTAAGGCCACAAGGCACGATAATGTAGTAATTCTAGGAGACTTTAACTTTAGTCATATTGATTGGAAATTTTTTGACTGGGAATTTAGAATCATATGACTTCTTAGTAGTAGTTCAGGATTGTTTTTTGAAGCAGTTTGTGACAGAACCTACAAGGGGAAATAACCTGCTTGACTTAGCTATGGCAAACAATGAATCCCTTGTTAATAATTTAGAAATTTCAGAGGAAAATGGGTGCTAGCGACCACAAATCAATTACATTTAGCATTGAATGGAAGTACGATAGTAGTGATAACTCAGTAACAATCCCAGATTTTCGCCCTTGGGAGATTACGATGGGCTTAGAGAACACTTGTCATCTGTTGACTGGGGTAACGAAGTGAGCTATCAATATGACAGTTTTCTGAACACTATACATGCGCTCAAAGAACATTATCCCATATAAGGAAATTAGATCAAACAGAAATGACCCAAAATGGAATGAATTTAAAAGGCTGGAAATATTACTAGGGCATAAGAAAGGAATTTATAGGCGAAACAAAAGGGTGGAGGGTCATTTTATGAATCAGTATATTGACATTAAGAGGGGCATTAAAAGGGGATAAGAAAAGCTAAAAGGGATATGAAATTAAAATTGCTAGGGATTCTAAAACTAACCAAAAGTTTTTTCCAGGTCTATAGAACAAAAGTTAGAGATAAGATAGGTTCCCTTAAAAATAACTATGGGCACCTTACTGACAAAAAATGGAAATGTGCTCGATTTTTAATAATTATTTTCTCTCAGTTTTTACACAGGAAGACACTAACATATTCCAGTAATTAATTTTTTTAAAATGGGCTAGAAGAAGATAAATTATGTAACATCACGTCACTAGTGAAATGGTTGTGAAGCAGATAGACAGACTGAAGCAAAATAAGTCGCCGGGTCCTGATGAGGTTTTTTCAAGGGTTCTTAAGGAATGCAAAATGGAACTCTGTGAACCATTAACTAATATTTTTAATTTATCTCTTCAAACAGGTGTAGTGTCTGATATGTGGAAGATGGCTAATGTAATTCCTATTTTTAAAACAGGGGACAAGTCGTTACCGTCAAATTACCGCCCAATAAGCCTGACCTCAATTGTAGGCAAATTACTAGTCAATTATAGCTCAGATTATAAGAAGTCATCTCGATAAGCATAGCTTGATTAATGATACTCAGCATGGATTCACAAGAGGCCGGTCTTGTCTAACTAATTTATTAACTTTCTTCAGTAAAGCTTTTGAGGCTGTTGACCACGATAAAGAATTTGATATTATTTACTTAGATTTTAGTAAGGCATTTGATAGAGTTCTGCACCATAGACTGTTAAAGAAAGTGGCAGCTCATGGCATTGGGGGAAAAGTGCTCTCGTGGATCGAGTCATGACTCACTGACAGGAAGCAGAGAGTGTCCATAAATGGGGTTAAATCCGAGTGGGGATCTGTAACAAGTGGCGTTCCACAGGGATCAGCCTTGGGCCCGTTGTTGTTTATAATATATATCAATGATCTTGATGAGGGAATTACTAGTGATATGAGCAAATTCGCCGATGACACAAAGATAGGTAGGATAATTGATTCAAACGTAGATGTTATGGAACTTCAGGAGGATTTAAACAAACTCTATTCTTGGTCAGAAAAGTGGCAGATGCAGTTCAATGTAGATAAATGCAAGGTTCTGAAGCTTGGGAGTGCCCATAACCCTAGTACTTATAAGTTAAATGATGTAGAACTTAGCCATACAGATTGCAAAAAGGACTTGGGGGTTATGGTGAGCAGCAACCTTAAACCAAGACAGCAATGCCTAAGCGTACGTAATAAGGCAAATAGATTACTGGGATTTATATCAAGAAGTGTAAGCAACAGAAGTCCAGAGGTCATACTGCAGCTTTATACATCATTAGTAAGGCCTCACCTAGATTATGCAGCTCAGTTCTGGTCTCCATATTACAGAATGGACATAAATTCGTTAGAAAACATTCAGCGTAGGATGACTAAATTAATACATAGCATTAGAAATCTTCCTTATGAAGAAAGATTGAAGACTCTTAAGTTACATTCACTTGTTGGACGAAGAATGAGGGGAGACCTGATCGAAGTGTATAAGTGGAAGATAGGTATTAATAAAGGGGATATTAATAAGGTCTTGAGGATGTCTCTCCAAGAGAGAACCCGCAGTAATGGATTTAAATTAGATAAGTTTAGATTTAGAAAGGACATAGGAAAGTATTGGTTTGGAAATAGGGTAGTAGATGAGTGGAACAGTCTACCTAGTTGGGTTATTGAGGCTGGGACTTTGGGTAGTTTCAAATTTAGGTTGGATAAGTACATGAGTGGGAGGGGTTGGATTTGAGTGGGACTTTCACATCAGAGCTTATTTCTTGGGTGGCATTGAAAATTGGGTTGGGCAAATGTTTTGTTAGTGGGATGAATTGTAAAGGACCTGCCTAGTATGGGCCAACAGGCCTCCTGCAGTGTTCCTCTTCTTATGTTCTTATGTTCTCTTAAACTTTCTACTAAAGTTCTCAGAAATAGCAAGAGCATACTATTATACATCACTTAACTAGACAAATACAGTAAGAGAATTTGTCTGGGAGCTTCAGATGCTAAATTCAAGCTGAGACTACTGAAAGGTAAACCTAATAATGTGTTTAACATACTTGGATATGCAAGGCTGTAAATTGTCATTGAGCTGAGTATATAAATTTAAAAAAAGGGTTGAGTGGAAAAAATTATGGTGCCATTAGGCTGTGTAGAAAATGAATGAAAGAGGAGATACATAAGTGAAGTAAGTGGGAAGATTCGGAAAAGGTATGCTAAGAATAAGGTAGAAAGAAGTATTGAAGAGGCTTTGTGTACAGAAGAGTGTGGAAAGTCGTACAGAGAAAGAAATATCTTCAATGATTCGTAAATACTGTACTCTCCAACAGTATGCATTGTATGGAATATAATTAAAAATTTATTTGCTTGGTTCTGGGTTATAAAGACAGTGAGAGAAAATTATCATTTGTTTGTTATGGTAGATATAATTTATTACCTCATCACTGCAGTATTTTTAAACTTCTTGTATGATTGCTTTAGGATGGGACAAGTGTTCAGAATCTTATAATTTTTTGATTATGTAAATTATCACATTTATCCCCTAGGGCAAGGAATATGTATTTATCAGCAACATTGACAACTTGGGTGCTACAGTAGATCTAAGCATCCTCAACTTTCTCTTGGGTGGAGAAGAAAGTGGCAAGTGTGAATTCCTAATGGAAGTTACAGACAAGACCAGAGCCGATGTTAAGGTAAGAACTAGTATATCTTATTGAAAAAGCTTTAATAATAATTTCATAAAATTATTTTTTTTTAAGGAAAAAAGGAACCTACCTAGTTGGACTAGAAAGGCTTGAGCCATGGCTCCAGGCCCAATCTCTTAATGCACATCATCCATTTCTGTTGATTTTTGGCCTGTAGGGCCATATTTTATCTATTCCTATGCATGGTGTTTACTCTCACCACCTCTTCATTTAATGCAATCCACTTGCCAATCTGAGACTGAAAAGGTACTTTGACATCCCAATTGCTTATCTCCATCTTGAACTGCTGCCTATGTCCCCTGACTCCCTCTCCTTACATCTCAGAAAGGTCTGTTCCTATCCACTCTCTAATCCTTTTAATATTTTATATGTCATGATCATGTCCTCTCTGGTTCTCCTCTCCTCTAGTGTTAGATTAGCTGTTATCTTCATCACCTTATTCTTTTCTGCGTTCCTATAATTTCCTCCTTTTACATACCCTCCTAAATTTGTCTACCATTTTTTGCAACTTGTCTTCATAATTCCCTCAAAAGAATTATGAAAAAATAATTACAATTACCACATGTTATTAATTCCTGGCTTTTTCATTCAGGGTGGTACATTGATCCAGTATGAAGAAAAATTAAGATTACTTGAGATTGCTCAGGTGCCTAAGGAACATGTAGATGATTTCAAGTCTGTTAAGACTTTCAAGATCTTCAACACTAACAACTTGTGGATTAAGTTGACTGGTAAGGACTCTCTTAAGTGCTCACTATGTTTATTTTTTTAATGTTAGATCCTTACCACCAAGGTGGAATGACACCTTAAAAACAATTGTTTTTAGGTATCCCTGAAAGGTTGTATTTCAATGGTTAGTTGTTTTCTTTTCTCCAGGTTTTTGCTTATAGTATGAGAGTGCCACATTCGATTGGTTTCAGATTTTCGTCACTGATGTACAGTAACTATGGAAGGGTTTTATGTAACTCTGGGTATATGGAGGCTCCTTATGGGCAGTGTTACATAGACCATTCAAGAATTCTTGGATTGAGTCCTATAATCTCAGAAATCCTGCAATTGATTGATTCAGATATTTAGCACCAGTGTATTCTCAGTAGAAGGCTGGGGTGTATTATCGGAGTGTTTAGGTGAACCTTTGCCACTTTTATTTTTAAAACAGCGTGTTATTTTTTACTAGTAAATCACATTGTATTTACATGAATATTCTTCATTTAAAAGGCTCAATCATTAACCCCTTAACTGTCCAAACATAGATCTACGTTCTTACTGCTAATGCTCCAAATGTAGATCAATATTTTATTTTTCCTGTTTCCAAATTTGGCATGATTGGCCTGAGATGTCTAGTCAGTATAGAATGGATCTCAACACTGTGTGTGTGTGTGTGTGGTGTGTGTGTGTGTGGGTGTGTGTGTGTGTGTGTGTGTGTGTGTGCGCGTGTGTGTGCATGCGTGTGTGTGTGTGTGTGTGCATGCGTGTGTGTGTGTGTGTGTGTGTGCATGCGTGTGTTGTGTGTGTGTGTGTGTGTGTGTGCATGCGTGCGCGTGCATGCGTGCGCGTGCATGCGTGTGCTTGCTGTATTAAAAAAAATCTGGGACCACTTAATACCTTGTAGGAGCACCAGTTCAGTTGAGTGCCAGCTAGCACAAACAGCTTGGCAAACACCAGGGATTCACTGATGCCATGTCATATTAATACTGTACTCCACTTTTAAGAGGAAAGTGATGTTGACCCCGAATTTAGTGGCTTTGAGACGGATGTAGCCACAAGTGGTCAAGCAGATATCAAAAACCTTGATAATAATCCATGTGCAACATTTGTGCCACATCCTTTCAATTTTGATACCACTAGTTGTATCATCCTGCTAGAGCATCCTATAATCTATGCCATAAGTAAAGAAAAATGATTTTAGAACATGTGTGATGTGTGTTTGGCAGCCTGGGTGGGTGACTGATTGACTTTGACTGATTCTGTCTCTGTCTATCTCACAGGTACACTTAAGTACAGTTATCATACAAAATGTAAATTACCTAGGATAACCCCCAAAAAAGACAGTGCTATACTGTGCATATAGATATAAGGCATAAGCATGACTGTGGCAAGTAATACATATTTCATCTTGTTCAGGAATCAGATGTGACTATTCTGCAACATGTGTAATACCTGTTGGTTCATGAGTGGCTCTCTCTGAGACAGAGAGAGACAGGCAGACAGAGATACACACACTGGCAGAGATATACACACAAGCAGACAGAAATACTCACACAGGCAAACAGAGACACACACACAGGCAGACAGAGATACACAAGCAGGCAGACAGACAGATACAAACGGATAGATATATGTAACAGTGGGAACAAATTAAAAATTACGCCAAGGTTCACTGGGAGCAGTGCATGATCAGCAATATTGAATGATGAGTGACTGCACCATCAGCAGTGTAGAGTGACACTTATCTGACATAATACTTCAAGGAGTTTCATATACAGTGGAACCCTGAATATTGGCCATAATCCGTTCCAGAAGGTCAGCTTCAATTCAAAGCAGCCTAAATTCGAAGCAATATTTCCCATAAGAATTAACCTTTTCAGGGTCCAGAGGCCAAATTTCAAAGTGTGCACCAGGGTCCAAGAATTTTCAGAAAATAATTGTTATTTTTTCTTATGAAATGGTAGAGAATCTTTTTCTTAAAGGTAATAAAACAAAAAGTACGAAATTTAATGGAAAATTGATTAAATTATGCTCTCGCGAATTTTGATGTGTTTGCAATATTTACGCATCGGCGATTTTGCCGACTTTGACTCCCATTTTAGGGCAATTACAGTATTCCAGTCAACCAAATTCTTAGCTATTTCACTAGTATTATTTCTATTCTATCGCTTGAGCACAAGTAATCGGCAATTCAATGCTACAACAGCAAAATAAAGTGACCGGAAATTGGTAATTTGGCCAATTTAATGCAAAGTGCAAAATATTCCAATTTCAAAATAGGGTTCAAAATAAACAGTGCAGGCAATCTTGGCACTAAACTAACATTTCCTCTGTTCATTAGTATTAAAAACCATTTGTCTCCATTCACTCCTATCAAACACACTCACGCATGCCTGATGGAAGTCCAAGCCCCTCGCACACAAAACCTCCTTTACCCCCTCCCTCCAACCTTTCCTAGGTCGACCCCTACCCCGCCTTCCTTCCACTACAGACTGATACACTCTTGAAGTCATTCTGTTTCGCTCCATTCTCTCTACATGTCTGAACCACCTCAACAACCCTTCCTTACCAAAACTGTTGTCCAGAGGGCTGAGGAAGGGTTGTTGAGGTGGTTCGGACATGTAGAGAGAATGGAGCGAAACAGAATGACTTCAAGAGTGTATCAGTCTGTAGTGGAAGGAAGGCGGGGTAGGGGTCGGCCTAGGAAAGGTTGGAGGGAGGGGGTAAAGGAGGTTTTGTGTGCGAGGGGCTTGGACTTCCAGCAGGCATGCGTGAGCGTGTTTGATATGAGTGAATGGAGACAAATGTTTTTTAATACTTGATGTGCTGTTGGAGTGTGAGCAAAGTAACATTTATGAAGGGATTCAGGGAAACCGGCAGGCCGGACTTGAGTCCTGGAGATGGGAAGTACAGTGCTGCAGTTTAAAAACTGTAGTGTAAAGCACCCTTCTGGCAAGACAGTGATGGAGTGAATGATGGTGAAAGTTTTTCTTTTTCGGGCCACCCTGCCTTGGTGGGAATCGGCCAGTGCGATAATAAAAAAAAAAAATATTTCTAGACAATAGTATGTGACCAAGGCAGATGAACATGTTCACCTGTCAATATGCTTATGACTGATTACTATTTTCATACCTAATATTAGTGTCAGAACAAAGATTGGCTATAAATTCACAAGAACTACTACAAATTGTAATTTTTCTTCTTTCAACAAACCAGCCATATTCTACCAACGTAGGGTGGTCCAAAAAGAAAAATGAAAGTTTCTCTCTTTAAATTTAGTAATGTATACAGGAGAAGGGGGTTACTAGTCCCTTAATTCCCGGCAGTTTAGTCACATCTTGTGACACGAATGGCTGACGGAGGAAGAATTCTATTCCATTTCCCCGTAGAGATAAGAGGAAATAAACTAGAAGAAGAACTAGCAAGAAAATAGAAGAAAACCCAGAGGGATAAGTATACGCTTGTACATGCTTGTGTAGTGTGATCCTAGTGTAAGTAGGAGGAGCAAGATGTACAGCAGGGCCCCATTTTATGGCATTCCACTAATACGGACATTTCAAATTATGACCAAAGAACTATACGGCTCCCCCACCTGACTTTCTCATACGGTCACTACGTGCCACTCGGTTTGTTTACATTCTTCATGAGCACCACATCTATCCATTATGTCAGGAAATTTTCCAAAATTTCAAGTGTGTTAAAGTTATTTCATATTTTATATATACAGCCTCTCCTCACTTAATGACGGAGTTCTGTTCCTAAGACCGTGCTGTTAAACGAATTCATTGCTAAGTGAGGAGCTTACTATAATGGTAATGAGTTTGTGTCAACCATCTTTAATATTGTTTTAATGTCACCTTTGCACCATTTATAACTTTTCTGGTATATTTTTAAATGTTTATGCAGTAGTGTACTGTATATTGACATAAACAAAATAGAGGAAATCAGCCCTGAATACATTATTTAGGTATGAATACTGGTCAAAGAGCGTGTCGTAAGTTCGAGGCGTCGGTAAACGAGTACGTCGTTAAATGAGGATAGGCTGTACTCTGATAATTATACTTGTGTACCTGTACCTTAATAGTTACTGTGCTGGCATGCAGGTACACATTAAAATCACTAAGAGTTTCTTCTTAGTTTCAAAGATGCCATATTAATAATGATAATAAAACAACAATAATCACTGAGGTACATTAAATGTTGTTTATTATGTTAATATAGACATTTTCATTAATCCATCAATGATATTTTTCAAAATTGTATAATGAACAAGCTACATAACATATAAACATTAGAAATACACCTCAAAGTGGAATAAATTAACATAAATATAAGATTTTTTTCAGTCGTCTTGACGGAGTGTTGAAAACAATACCATTTCCCTAGTTCAACACCAAAGAAAATGTGTACACAATAGTATTACTGGAGGGTAACTGTAGAAAATTATTCTTTTCATATGCCTTCACTCAGAGCGTCATTCCTTCTAAAAATACAGTGGACCCTCAACCAGCGATGGCATCGATTAACGATAAATCTGACTAGCGATACATTTTAACGCAAAAATTTTGACTCGACTAGCGCTTAAAAACCCGACCAGCGCTATTCGTTCCGTACGAGATGCGTCCACTTTGGCCTGAGCGTGCCTCACTTGTCCCGTGGGTGCCAGTGTTTACAAGCCAGCCACTGCGGTCGCTTCCAAACATACAACTGGAACATTTCATATTATCACAGCCTTTGTAGTGATTGCACCTGCAAAATAAGTCACCATGGGCCCCAAGAAAGCTTCTAGTGCCAACCCTACAGCAAAAAGGGTGAGAATTACTATGGAGATGAAGAAAGAGATCATTGTTAAGTATGAAAGTGGAGTGCGCGTCTCTGAGCTGGTCAAGTTGTATAATAAACCCCAATCAACCATCGCTACTATTGTGGGCAAGAAAACGGCAATCAAGGAAGCTATTCTTGCCAAAGGTGCAACTATGTTTTCGAAACTGAGATCGCAAGCGGTAGAAGATGTTGAGAGACTCTTATTGGTGTGGATAAACGAGAAACAGATAGCAGGAGATAGCATCTCTCAAGCGATCATATGTGAAAAGGCTAGGACGATTTAATTAAAAAAATGCCAGCAACTAGTGATGTGAGTGAATTTAAGGCCAGCAAAGGTTGGTTTGAGAGATTTAAGAAGCGTAGTGGCATTCATAGTGTGATAAGGCATGGTGAGGCTGCCAGTTCGGACCACAAAGCGGCTGAAAAATATGTGCAGGAATTCAAGGAGTACATAGAGGCTGAAGGATTGAAACCTGAACAAGTGTTTAATTATGACGAAACAGGCCTGTTTTGGAAGAAAATGCCAAGCAGGACGTACATTACTCAGGAGGAAAAGGCACTCCCAGGACATAAGCCTATGAAAGACAGGCTTACTCTGTTGTTGTGTGCCAATGCTAGTGGTGATTGCAAAGTGAAGCCTTTATTGGTGTATCACTCTGAAACTCCCAGAGTGTTAAGGAAAAACAATGTCCTCAAGGCTAATTTGTGTGTGCTGTGGAGGGCAAACAGTAAGGCATGGGTCACTAGGGACTTTTTCTATGACTGGTTCCCCATCATTTCCCCCCAATTGAAAAATTTTTAAATTTGAAAAAAAATTAGCCCTTTAAAGTGCCCCTGGATTGACAATGTCCGGGTCCCCCTAGACTTGGCAGAGCGACTTTTTAGGGACATGAGCTTCATTAAGGTGAAGTTTTTCCCTCCTATCCCACCCCTCCCCTGCCCCCCTGGCCAGCAGTCTTTTCCAACTTCAAGAAACTGTAACAAAAGCTATGTTTGAAAAGTTTTTTGTTGACCTCAAAAACCAATGACTCTTGGGGTTTTTGGAAAGACTTTTACCATCCCTTTTGGGGTAAACATTAGAGGTAAGGCTTGGAGGAAGTGACTAAGGGACTTGAACTTGTTTGGGAAAAAAAACGTGGCCAGAATGTGTAAAAAAAAAGGATTTGAAGGGTTTGGGGCTAACCCTGAGAATCCTATGCCACATCAGAACCCATTGGGGCTTTGGGGGAAGTCCTTGGGGTTTTTGGGAGGTTATGGGGAGGAGGGAAGAGTGGTGGAGGGGGAAAATAAAGAACAAACCCACTGATGAGTGAGATCATCTTAACAGCAAGAGGCAGCCTGAGGAAACTGTTTTGAGGAGGGATAGAGAATTAAAGAAGTTGCCTACTTCAAAAAATTAAGGAAATGTGTCAAAGTGGCTTTAAGGGCAAACCTTTTTTTAGAAAATCACCCTGACCAGCTATTGCAAGCGTTTTTGGCAACCTTACATGGGCAGTGTTGGAAACCCTAAAAAAAGCATAAAGGGAAAGAGAGGGACAGGTTTATGGACAGATTTTTGCGACAGAAGTCTAGTGACTTGAAGCTGGTCCTGTGGCATTAAAAGAACAAGGGAAGTAACCCCAGAAAAAGACTTTTTACCTCAAGTGCTAATGGAAGGGGGTTCCCCCTTTTAAACACAAAAAGTCAAAGGCTCCCCTCCTCCCCCCCCATCAATCCACCCGATCTTCAATAAGGTAATGTCCCTGTAAGTGCATGTCTTCTTTTTGTTTTTGGGGTTATTTAAAAATTAATATTTCATGTGGTAAAATTTTTTTTTCAATACTTTGGGGTTTTCTTGCACAGATTAAATTTGATTTTCCCTTTTTTCTCATGGGGGAAAAAAACTTACTAAGATTTTTATGATTAAAGATGGCTCTCGGAACGGATTAATCCGGTTTTAGGGTCCACTGAGTGTGTAAAATGAAAAGGAAAAGTGTTGCTCTTTATTTATTCTAATGTACCAATGTGGAGACAACTTGTACACAATGTAAGGTGTTTGTATTATGGTATAAGCTTCACAGACATGGAAATGAACGTGTATGAACCATACCCAGACGCATTCATCTGCTTGCTTACATACTCCGTGTCACTGTCCTCTCTCATTTACTAGTTCTCCCCCTCTCATTTATTTGTTTTAACTCGTTTACTCATCTCTCTCCCTACACTAAGACAACAGATATTTTAAAGTAAGTAATGAGTGTACTGTATGTGCATTTTATCACTCTAGGGTGCTTTAAATGTTGTAGTATACTATGTGTGGATAGGGTGTCGCCTACCTACCTACCACACCTCACTTCTTACAATAAACACTACTCATCTCTCGCCCTGCATTAAGAATACCAGTAGTATTTTAAGGTAAGTAATGAGTGCGCAGTTGTCCCCCAAATTCACGGGGGTAATGTTGCAAGACCACCTGCCAATATGATAAAACCGCGAATTCTTGACACAGTTAAAAAAAATGCCTATAAATGCCTATTTTTATAGTTTAAACCCTAAATATGCTCCCAAAACACTTCAGCTTCATACATCACCCTTACAAAAAAAAAAAAAAAAAAAAAAGATAAAGATAAACCCGTATACAGTATTGTACAGTGGTCCCTCGTTTTTCATAATTAATCCATTCCTGGAGTTGCTACTATTATCGAAATCTAAGATTTGCAAATCAGTTTTCCCCATAAGAAATAATGTAAATACAATTAATCCGTTCCTGACACCCAGAAGTATTAAAACAAAAAATTTTTTTACATGAAATATAGATGTAGTACATAAACAATACAATGGGAAATGATGAATGAAACATTAACAGCATAACACTTACCTTTATTGGAGATTCTTCTTAGTGTATGGGAGACTGGAGGAGGAGAGAGATTGGATTGTTTACAGTTTGGAAGGGGAATCCCCTTCCAGCAACACCTCGGGCACCAATTGCTTTTCTGGGGTTGCTTCTCTTCTCTGTTATGCCACTAGGACCACCTTGAGAGTCACTGGAGTCCTGTCTCGCAAAACAACTGTGGAGAGAGCTCTGTTTCTGGCGTCTCTTTAACACTTCCCTAAAATGGCCCAAGACTTTGTCACTGTACATGTTGCCAACATGGCTTGCAACAACCTTGTCAGGGTGATGTTTCTCCATAAAGCTTTCCATCTTACCCCACATAGCAAAAATCTCTTTAATTTCTGAAGAAGGCACCTTCTTCCATCTCTCTTCCTCCTCCTCTGCAGCAAGATTCTGAGCTGCGATCTGTTGCTGTTCCTGCTGAAGCTCTTGCAGCTCCTCAGTGGTGAGCTCTTCGTTGTGGTCTTCCACCAACTCTTCCACATCCTCCAAACTCACATCCAACCCCATGGAACTCCCCAGTGCCACAATTGATTTAACAACAGATATAGGCTCATCAGGGTCAGTCCCAAGCCCTTCAAAATCCCTCTTGTCGACACAATCTGGCCACAATTTTCTCCAAGCAGAGTTCAAAGTCCTGGTAGTCACTCCCTCCCAAGCCATACCTATAAGGGTTATGCAATGGAGGATACTGAAGTGTTCTCTCCAAAATTCCTTTAGGGTCAAGTGAGTGTCTGTGGTCACAGTCAAGCACCTGTGAAACATTGCTTTGGTGTAGAGTTTTTTAAAGTTTGCAATGACCTGCTGGTCCATGGGCTGGAGGAGAGGAGTGGTATTCGGGGGCAAGAACTTTACTGTGATGAACCCAAACTCCTTGAAAATTAGGTCATCCAAGTTTGGAGGATGAGCAGGTGCATTGTCCATTACTAGCAGGGCACTTAGAGATCCAATTTCTTTTCCAGGAGGTAAAAGTTAAGACACTTGTGCAACATCTGGTTATCTTTATTGTAAACGTTTCGCCATCCAGTGGCTTTATCAATACAAATTCTTGGACATAATTAGAAAACAGAAGAACTATATACAAAAGATGAGGTAATTAGTCCCTCAGCCTTGGAGGTGGTGTTTACAACACCGTGGTTGTAGAGATTCTGAAGCACAAGTAAGGAGACTGGCGCTTATATAGGCGTCAGTGAATAGAGACGTGTAGCAGATGAGGGCATAGTCACTGGTAGGCGGGATTCCCCAGTGGAAGTAGGTCCTTCCCAAATTGATGGGCTAGTTGTTGTGAAGAAGGTCTTGTAGATGTCCTCTGAATCAAGATACCATGATGTTGCAGTGCCTGACAAGTTGTGCAAGACAGGTATACAATACCGACAAGATGAAAGTTAAGACACTTGTGCAACATCTGGTTATCTTTATTGTAAACGTTTCGCCATCCAGTGGCTTTATCAATACAAATTCTTGGATGGCGAAACGTTTACAATAAAGATAACCAGATGTTGCACAAGTGTCTTAACTTTCATTTTGTCGGTTTATTTTTATACCTGTCTTGCCACAACTTGTCAGGCACTTGCAACATCATGGTATCTTGATTCAGAGGACATCTACAAGGGACCTTCTTCACGACTTCTACAACTACCCCATCAATTTGGGAAGGACCTACTTCCACTGGGGAATCCCGCCTACCAGTGACTATGCCCTCGTCTGCTACACGTCTCTCTTCACTGACACCTATATAAGCGCCAGTCTCCTTACCTGTGCTTCAGAATCTCTACAACCATGGTGTTGTAAACACCACCTCCAAGGCTGAGGGATTGATTACCTCATCTTTTGTATATAGTTCTTCTGTTTTCTAATTATGTCCAAGAATTTGTATTGATAAAGCCACGGATGGCGAAACGTTTACAATAAAGATAACCAGATGTTGCACAAGTGTCTTAACTTTCATCTTGTCAGTATTGTATACCTGTCTTGCACATTTCCAGGAGGTAATTCTTCACACTAGGGCCAAACACTTCATTGAACCACTCGACGAAAATTTCCCTCGTGACCCATGCCTTACTATTAGATTTCCAAAACACACACAATTTACTCTTCATAACATTGTTTTTCCTGAACACACTGGGATTTTCAGAATGGTACACTAGTAATGGCTTCACTTTGAAATCCCCACTAGCATTAGCACAGAACATGAGCATCAGCCTGTCTTTCATAGGCTTGTGTCCTGGCATTGCCTTTTCCTCCTGTGTAATGAAGGTCCTCTTTGGCATTTTCTTCCAAAAGAGGCCTGTTTCGTCACAATTGAACACTTGTTCAGGTTTCAGTCCTTCAGCCTCTATGTACCGGCCGGGGTATGGTTTACTCCTTGAATTCATGCACATATTTTTCAGCCGCCTTGTGGTCTGAACTGGCAGCCTCACCATGCCTTACCACACTGTGTACGCCAGTACGGTTCTTAAATCTCTCAAACCAACCTTTGCTGGCCTTAAATTCACTCACATCACCACTATTTGCAGGCAATTTCTTTACCAGATCATTGTGCAACTGCCTAGCCTTTTCACAACTAATCGAAGTCATTAAGAGTATTCTGCTAATTGTTCTCGTTTATCACACCAAACTAACTTCTCAACATTTCGAGTACTGTGGTGATTCATTTTTGTCAGCATAGTTACCCCTTTGCAACTACAGCATCTTGATTCCTTTTTCTTGACCACTTATGGAACATATGGTTGTGTAGAGTTTCTTATACATCCTGGCCAGTTGGCCCGCAACTTGTGCCTCATATCATATTGTTCAATGATTGTTTTTTTAAATTCAATCGTATTTCTCACTTCTTTACCACAGGCTTGGCACTAGGAGCATTTTCTTTGGAGCCATGTAGTTATTTAGGCACTTGCAATGCACTCTAAAATGAGTGGAATATTATGAATATTTGTTTGGAGCATGTGGGCGGACCTTCGCTCTCACTGGTAAACAATGCCTCCCTTCCCTGGATGGGTAGGAGGCCACCCTGGCTCACACCATGTGTATGTGTCCCGGACGAACTACTATTCGCGAGTCAACCTATGATTAGCGAGCCCATGTTTATACAAAAATATCCCTATGATTTCCGAAATCTATGATTCCCGAGAACTATGAAAAGCGAGGGACCACTGTACTTCTATGTCTCCGCACGTGCTAGAATGTAAAAATACCATGTTGCCCCCATAATTCATGTAACCCCATTTTCTTTGGCACATACAGTGGACCCTCAACTAATGGCGGCATCAAGTAACGGCAAATTCATCCAATGGCGCTCTTTGGTGTAAAAAAAAAATGGCTCTACCTGCGGAGAAAAACTCGTCTAACGAATTGTCCATGCGGCGGAGTGCGGGGGGGGCAGAGCGTAGCCCAAGCCACTCCATGACTCCATGTAAGCCCAGTGTGCAGTGTTACAAGCCGTTCTCAGTTGATTCCAGTGTACTGCGATATATTTTGTATTATTCCAGTGTTTTTTAGTGACTTGTAACTGCTAATAAGCCAACATGGGCCCAAAGAAAGTGTCTAGTGCCAACCCTGTGATAAAGAAGGAAAGAAACACGATAAAATTCAAGAAAGTACCAAAGTGGAGGAAGAAGAGAGAGGGGAGAATGTGCCTTCTGCAGTGATTCATTGATTCGATGATATGTATGATACTAAAGCAGCAGGTAGCGATAAAGTGTAGAATTAAGTGTAGCAAGTAAGTTAAGAGAGTAAGCGATAGAAAAACAACACGAAAGTAACTCTCCAGTATTGTTGGATGTGTGTACATCTGCTGAACATACGCCAGCCTGCTATCTTCCACTACCCTAAACCTCTGCCAGCATCTCCTCCATCAAACTAACTAATTAAACTAACATCTCATCCAAGGTAAGTGTAAATATAAAAGTGTAAGAATAAAAGTAAATACAGTATCTTCTTTCTTTCAACACACCGGCCGTATCCCACCAAGGCAGGGTGGCCCAAAAAGAAAAAATGAAAGTTTCTATTTTTAAATTTAGACAATTTATACAGGAGTTTGGGGTCACAAGGGCCCCTTGCTCTGGCTTTTTAGTCTCTCTTACGAACGCATGGCTTACGAGGAAGAATTCTGTTCCACTTCCCCATGGAGAAAAGTAAATATCTTAAGTGCAAATATGTAAGTCACTCTGACTTTTGGGTTATCCTAAGTACTTTACACATATTTATTTATTTATTTATTTATTTATTTATTAACAATTTGAGCACACTTACAGCAGGTACAAAAATAACTGATATGAGCAGCATGCCAAAGCCATTATACTATGCATTGCATTACGGTGCTGGCTTAAAAAATCGTAACTAAGATTACTAAGCAATGTTTGAAATCAGTGATAAAACATAATGTAAACAGATTACTATAAAGCACAAGTGAGTATTACAAGACAGGTCATATGGTTGCATGCATTGTTGTACATTCAGTCTGTCTATGAAGTTATTCTTGTTAGGTAGATGTATTTAAAAAATAATAAAGTTAGATTCGGTTTAGGTTTTAACATTTATGTGATTAAATTGTGGAGAAACATTTAAGATATCAATTTATAAGGTTTCAGGTATTCTGTATTTATGGTTTTGGGTGAGTAAAAGTGATTTGAGAATGAGACTTGTATTTATAAAAAGTAGTGTTTCTTTTATTATTTACAGGTAACTGAATTCAGATTTTAGGTCCTTTGATGTGCATTAGTTTTGCCATAGTAGGTGAGATGGACATGAGGACATAAATGAGTGATCTGTGTCCTTGTGTTCTGGGCTGTGTTATGTTGAGGTTGGCAAGGAGATATTGGAGGGAGGGTTTATATCAGAGTTAAGTGTTCTATGGTATGTAATAGATGCAGTTATAAAGTATGGATGTTTTGTAATGGTGAGTAGGGTTAGTGTATTGAATATTGGTGGAGTGTCTGCTGTAGTGAGAATTTGTTGATTCTAACTGCAAGCCTTTGTTGGGTAATTAGTGTTTCTGAGGATGGTTAATTGTTGTTGTGCCCATGCACAAATTCCATAGGTGAGTAGGGGTAAATAAAGAGAGTGATATAGGGCAGGAGGGTGGACTGACTGTGAACATTGAGTACCGTATCTTCGTTTAGTATGCCTACAGTCTTGGAAATTTTCTTAGAAATTTGTTGTATATGTGTTATGAAATTTGAGTCTATTATAAAGGTGGTTCCTTAAGAATTTTCCCTCTGTTAGCTTTGTGATAGGTGATCGTTTAGCATTATGTAAGAGGGACTTCTGTAGCTCTGTTAACCAAACTGAATGGGAAGTAGGTTTTGTCAATGTTTAGTGTAAGTTTGTTAGTCCTCATCAGGTTAGATTTTTTCTGTATTCGGTATTTTACCGTATTGGCTAGAATTTTGGGGGGAAACGTTGGGGCTCGGTGAGAGAAGACGTATATGTAGTGTATCTGCAAATAGTGTGGGTTGAGTAATTGCGAAGCTTTTGATAGGTCAATTATGTATAGGAGAAAGAGAAGAGGGCAGGACACTTCCTGTGGGACACAACAGTAAATTGGTTGCGCAGAAGAGTTTGCCCCATTTTGCGTACACATATTGGCTTCTGTTGCTGAGGTTACAGACTTGGAGGATGTTAGGGATGTGCTCCTCTTAGACATAGTGTGACAATTTTACGTGGTGCAAGTCATGGTCAAAACTGTATCAAAAGGT